ATATATATATATATATATATATATATACACATACATACATACACTTTTGGTATGATCAGGTATTGTTTTTATAAATTTTGACACGTGTTCTCTGTGTCTTCTTATTTTATGTATCATATGCGAGTTACATTGGGACTTTGTATAGATGGTTAATAGAAAAAATGACATGCAGTACTTACAATGGAACACAAGCGCCTTTCCGACCTTCCAGGTAATGGAACTCAGATGCCTGACACGCATAAGCGTACAGGATTGGACTGCATGTGAAAGCGAGATTCAGAATACACAAGGTACAGCTGGGACCACTCGACATGATAGGCTGACGGCAACCATGGGAGTGGTGTCTTTTCATTCAAAAGAGTGTGGGGAGACACATTAGGAATAGTGAACATAAAATTTTCGGTTCACAAACCGCGAACACAAACTTCCGCAAATGTTCGCGAACCGGGCGAACCGCCATAGACTTCAATAGACAGGCGAATTTTAAACCCCACAGGGACTCTTTCTGGCCACAAGAGTGGATGAAGGGGGAGACCTACTCTCCTTCCCCCTCCCCCCGACCCCCACCCCTGGGCGGCGGGTGGGGGCCATAAAGATAATGAGGGGAGGGACCTACTGTCCTCCCCCCCGGCCCCCACCCCTGGGCGGCGGGTGGGGGCCATAATAATAATGAGGGGAGGGACCTACTGTCCCCCCCCAGCTCCCAGCCCCCATCCCTGTTAATTTACGGCCCCCATCCACCGTTCAGAGGTGGGGGCCGGGTGGGACAATAGGCCCCCACTTATTGTTATTAGGGCCCCCACCCACCGCTCAGGGGTGGTGGCCAGGGGGGACAGTAGGTCCCCCCCTTATTGTTATTTTTAGGGCCCCCATAATAGGTCCCCCCCTTATTGTTAATTTTAGGGCCCCCACCCACCGCTCAGGGGTTGGGGCCGGGGGGGACAATAGGTCCCCCTTATTGTTAGTTTTAGGGCCCCATCCACCCCTGAGGGGTGGGAGCCGGGGGGGGACAGTAGGTCCCCCCTTATTGTTAATTTTAGGTCCCCCACCCACCGCTCAGGGGTGGGGGCCAGGGGGGACAGTAGGTCCCCCCCTTATTGTTAATTTTAGGGCCCCCACCCACCGCTCAGGGGCAATAGGTCCCCCACTATTAGTATTTAGGGGACCCTTTTTTAACAGTGAGCAGCCACAGGCTGCTCACTGTTTAATAGACATGCCCCTACTCGCGGTATTGCGAGTAGGGGCACAATTTACTAATACTAAGTAATTTTTACTTAGTATTAGTAAATTAATAGGGGGCGGACCGAACATCGCATATGTTCGCCAACCGTGGCGAACGCGAACACGCTATGTTCTCCAGGAACTATTCGCCAGCGAACCATTCGGGACATCACTAATTAGGAATTACACCACAGCAGAGATTGGACTGTGAATTTTACCCCTGAGGAAGTCCGAACATTTGGCGGACAAAACGCATAGGAATTTGGTTTTATTTATTGTGTTGGTTTGTTTTTATTCCGAATAAATAGTTTTTGATAATAAAAGAAGTAGTACTCCTTATCCTTGATGGTCATTACCTGTGGATGCTCACTGGAGATTGTAATGGACCGTTTTGCACACAAGGGGTAAAAACCGTTTAGGCGATCGCCCCCCTTTCCAGAGATGCAGGCACAGCTATTGTAGAACACCAAACACACGAACCGCCAATAAGTGAATGCTTCAAACTCCCGAACGGCATCCAATATAGCACTCCAAACACACGAACAGGAACCATACGAATCGCTGCTAGCAGACGAATAGGAAAAGCATCCAAGCAGCTTACACTCCTAGCAATCAGTCTCTATCAGCATTCAGTAAATCCCCCCAAAGACGAGACAAGGCTGCGTGTTGAGGGTCAAGCAGTGGTCTGTTTAATGAGAGCTACCTGCCCAGTATTTATGCAGGTCGCCCACCAGGTGGACAATCCCCTATGGGACCAAATGGGAGACTGTGACAAAAGACAGACAATCAGCCAAACAGGACACACAGTCACATTATATTCCCACAATGCATCCTGGCTTCCTCCCCTCTGCCTTGGAGATAATTAAGAAGTAATTCAATTATCTCCCAAGACAAAGGCAAATCGCCATTATGCACGTGGGGATACTAACACACAAATTACTATTAAAATACACTATGTAAGACACATTACAATAAACTTATACATTTAACATGTTCCCTGATAGCTCAGGTCTGAGCGCTCATTATTAAGCGAATGGCGCTCAGACTACACGAATACAGTTCAATCGCCATGGAGCCAAAGTCTTTACACAGTCAGTTCTCATGCGAATGGGCTCCATGGGATTCCTATCTGGGGTATAACATAGACAAGTAAAACTAGCGAACACCGGCCGTTCGTGTACTTCCACCGAACAAAAAGGGAGGTTGGCGGCTTCAGCGGTGTTCGCGCAAAACTGTGTCCGATTTGAGTTCCATGAATTAAGAATCGAACACTGCTGTGCGTTTGAATGTTTAAAATGGCCGCGACCTCGTGTTCGTTATACGAATGGCGGCCACCCAGCATTTGGCAATTAAGCTGCGGTTGACCGCAGCTTCAGGGAGGTTAATTGCCGGCACACTCCAGCTCCCAGGTGGTCTATTCATTCGTGCGGTTGTTCGGTAGATTGAATCTACCGAACACCCGGCAGAAAAGCACAAATAAGTCTTTTCTGCAGGGAAAAAAGATGTCTTTTAACATGGGGCCATAGTCCAAAGGCAGCAGGCGAGCAACCAGGCTTCTCCAATGCAATGTGGTGAGATTGCTCTCGTCCCAGAGATTAAATCTGTTGGACATGATATGCTCATATATCACTTCAAGTCTGTAAGTGTTCATTTATTTAAGCGCAAAAGATGAATGTCTAACAGTCTGCCCTTATTGTGTATTCTTATTCTTTCCTACATGCCCATTTTTGTGTTGTGGATTCCATACCATCTTTAATTATGCGATTTACCTACAATCAATATACTTTTGTGAGTGCAACCTTAAACACTAGTATATTGGTATAATTAACTTTACCACACTGAGTTTTATTTTTCATTTACTGTAGAATCTTTCTATATAATAAATGTTGGAAAATGAGGCTGTATGGATGAATTTAAGAAATATCATTCTGCACAGCAATAACTAGTAAAGTGTGTATACACAATTTTAGTAGTCAAGGAGATAAAATAGTAAATATAAAAAGGGCAAGACTCAAGTTTAATTGCACAAATCAATTCCTGGAGCTTTTAATTTTTTTTAATAACCCTTAAAATATGATTTTTACTTTTTTTTAAAGTTACTTTTTCCAGTTATTCTTGTTAATTATAATCTTGATTCATGAGTATTTAATTTGATAGCATGGTCTGGATGCCCAGTCAAGTAGAGGCACTGCCAGTTGTATGTATCCCAACTCCCATGTGGTGACATTCTGTCATCAAACTAATATGGTGACCAGGGGTCATGTGACCAAGCTCATGTTTGCCTTTCTTACAGTGGGATAAGCTTTACCCTTTGAAATGGTAATTGGGTAATTCAATACCTTTACAAGTCAGGAAAGAGATAACTACTTCCCCCTTTCTCCATTCCTCTCTGTTCCTTCTTGGCTGTGCTACTGAGCAGTCCCTTAAGCAGACATGGATAAACACAAAAAGAATTCAGCGCTAGTAATCACAAAATTAGTCAAGGTAGGCAGCAACCCAAATGAAGGAATTCTGAAGAAGCCACTTATGGTGAAACGCGTTTATGGTTTTTAATTCTGTATTTTACTGTGTATTTTAGATCAATAAAAGTTTTTTGGCTACTTATTTTATAATTCTGAAGAAGCCACTTATGGTGAAACGCGTTTATGGTTATGAATTCTGTATTTTACTGTGTATTTTAGATCAATAAAAGTTTTTTGGCTACTTTATTATACAAGTCCTCTTTTTATTGCACTCTTTATGCACTTTAAACAACTTTTTTTTACTTATTCCTGGCATTTTAACCTTTCCTGGTTACTTTTACTTCCACTGGCAATTTTAAAGTTCCAGTACTCCAAGAAATCCTAGGTGGGGATCATACCACCGGCGCCTATCCATAGAGCAGTACCTCTGCTCTATCTTTGTGAGTAGTGATGTACCGAACGGTTCGCTGGCGAAAGGTTCCTGGCGAACATAGCATGTTCGCGTTCGCCACGGCGGGCGAACATATGCGCGGTTCGACCCGCCCCCTATTCGTCATCATTGAGTAAACTTTGACCCTGTACCTCACAGTCAGCAGACACATTCCAGCCAATTAGCAGCACAGCCTCCCTAGCAGACCCTCCCACCTACTGGACAGCATCCATTTTAGATTCATTCTCAAGCTGCATGCTTAGTAAGAGGAGGGAAAGTGTAGCTGCTGTTCATAAGATAGGGAAAAGCATAGCTAGGTTAGGGATAAGGGTATGCTTTTTTTGGATTTTTTTTTTCTATCTAATGTAAATGCACTTAGTTGTCTGCCACTGCTGCCAGCTACTGTGTCAGGCTCACAGTGCCCATTTCCCCAGTCAGTGCCACCAATTACATCTGGTGTCACAAT